AAAAAAAAAAAAAAAAAAGAGAGAGAGAGAGAAAAGAAATACTGAATCTAATTTAAGAATTTTATTTTTCAATGGTGGTGTGGATTTTACAATTCTGAAATTACCTTTCCTACATTCTAATATTGAGAAAATGAAAACAGGACAACCAGGATTTTCACAAAAAGAAAAGTAACCACAAACCACAAATAAGGAAATGTAACATTTTTAGTATATGGATATAGATTTATTTAATATACAGATATAGACATAAAAAGATATGTGCATATATACAGGGATACACACACACACACACACACACACACACACACACACACACACACACACGTTCTCGCTCTCTTTCACATTCACATATCCACGTTTCCCAGGTCAGTGCAAGGAGGTTTTAGATGCAATAGAACATCTCAGTACCAACAAGCACAACTTAACTCCCAGATCATGGCCTCTAAATATCATTTTTTTAAAAAACTTCAAAGAAAGGGTGGATAGCTGAGGAACGTCTCAAGGTAAGTACAAGAAAAGTCTTGAACTTGTTCTTGGGTCATAAAGTAAAGAAGTGTTCATGGAATCATAAGGACATATTAAAATAATTCAGGACTCTGAAGAATATAGGTATTTCAGAAGGACCTATCTCAATCTAATAAAAAGCCATTTATAATAAATCTACTGCCAATGTCATATTAAATGGGGAAAAACTGAAAGCTTTCTCTCTAAAATCAGAAACAAGACAAAGATGTCCGCAATTACCACTCCTGTTCAACACAGTCCTTGAAACATTAGCCAGAACAATCAGGCAAGAGAAATAAAAGAGATCTATACAAGAGAGGATCAAGTATCACTATTTGCAAATGACATAATCCTTCACTTACAGAACAAAAAAATTCCATTAAAAGTCTCCTGGAATGAATAACTAAATTCAGTAATGTGGCAGGATAAAAAAAAAATCAACACATAGTAATTGACAGCATTCCTACATAGTAATAATAAACTTAGAAAAAAAACTAAGAACACAATATCATTCACAGTAGCATCAAGAAAAAATCAGTACTTAGGAATTATCCTAACCAAAGAAGTGAAAGATTTCTACAACAAAAATTATATCATTCTGAAAAAGGAGATTGAAGAGGGCACTGAAAATGAAAAGATATCCCCTATTGCGGATAGGAACAACCAAGGTAGTCAATCGGTCATACTTCCAAAACTGATATAAAGATATAATGCAATCCCCATCAATTTCACACAGATTTACAGATAACTCCAAAACTTCATATGGAACTAGAAGAAAATAAGAATACCAAAAACAATTCTGGGTAACAATAGCAAAGCAGGAGACATCACAATCTCAGATTTGAAATTGTATTACACTTCTACAGTGATTAAAAAAAACAACAGGGTACAGGCACAAAAACAGACATGTGAATCAATGGAAGAGAACAGAGGTAGCAGAAACAACCCTAGACACAGTCAGCTATTTGATCTTTGAGAAAGGAGCCAAAGACTCACACTGGAAGAAAGCCTCTTTAGTAAATGTTGCTGGAAAAATTAGATATACACCTGCAGGAGATTGAGTCTAGACCCAAACATCTCACCATGTACTTAAATCAAAATGGATCAAAGATCTAAATGTTAAAACAGAAACAATCTGGCTGGGGATTTAGCTAAGTGGCACTGTGCCTGCCTGCCTCCCAAGCACAAGGTCCTGAGTCAGCTCCCCAATACAAAAAATAAATAAACAATCTGCTGGAACATAAAATAGGTAAAACTCCTGAAAATGCAGGTATAGGCAAAAAACTTTCTGAACAGACCCCAGTGGCATAAGAAATAAAACTGAAAATCAACAAATGGGGTATATAAAAATAAAAACCTTCTCCATAGCAAAGGAAACTGACAGAGTGAAAAACAACCTACAGACTGGGAAATGTTTTTTCCAGATAGTCCTTGGACAAAGAACTAACATCTACAATATACAAAGAACTCAAAAAACTTAAACCCCTAAAATTAAAAAGCCAATAAAAAAAATGGGAAACTGAAATGCACAGACATTTCTCAGAAGAAGTACAGACGGCCAATAAATAGCTGGAAAAAAAAAATGTTCAAAACTGCTGGCCATTAGACAAATATAAATTAAGATAACACAATAGAACACTAAGATACCAACTTAATCAAAAAAACTAATACTAACAAATGCTGGCAAGGCTTCAGGAAAAAAGAAACTATCACATTCCTGGTAAAAATGGAAACTAATACAATCACTATGAAGATTCCTCAAAAGACTAAAAATACAACTTCCATTTGCTTTAGCTATTCCCTTTTTAAGTATCTTCCTTAAAGACTTAAAGTTTATAACAGCACAATTTAAAACACCTAAATCAACAGATGAATGCACAAAGAAAATGTGGTATTGTGTTTATACACAGTGGAGTACTGCCCTGCCATAAAGAAGGATAAATTTGAGGCATTCATAGGAAAACAGATGCACTTTGAGGCCATAACGATAAGTGGAGTAAATCAGATACACAAGTTTAAATATTGCATGGTTTTTCTTACATGAGAAACCCAAAATATAAAGAGCAAAATAAAAGATAAATAATAGAAAGAAGGGAAACCATTTTCAAACAGGAAGATGGAAGGAGGGAGAGAGAGGAAAGGAAAAAGTGATTTTAAAAAAGAATTGAAGAGGGGCCGGGATTTAGCTCAGGGTGCAGCTACCTGCCTCACAAGTTCAAGGTCCTGAGTTCAATCCCTAGTACCCAAAAATAAAAAAGAATTGAAGAAAAAAGTGGCAGTAGAGCTTCTGCAAATGGGGAGGGAAATAAGAGTTGGAGAGAGCGGGGCTGGGGTTGAAGAAAAGAATTAAGATGTGCTATGCGCATGAACAAACTGCCCCATGGTAAATGTAACAATTATATACTGCAAACACACTAACACAAAAAAATAATTTAGGAGACACCTTTTAGGGACTTCTACCGGATGAGTCTGAATCAAACTGATTATCAAAGTAACAAATCATAGTACAGGATTACAAGCCAATGAATGCCTGAGTTCTCACTGCTGGAAACAAAAAAGGAAAGTACTCCCATTTAATAAAATGCCAACTACCAATTGCAAAAGGAGCAGTGGAATTTTTAGAAAACCATCTATGGTTGCTAGTACTAAAATGTGAAAGCTTGCTGAGGAATAGGTTACTCACCTATTTACTAAGTACAGTATCTCTCATAAACTATTAATCAAAAAGGGGAAAATTTGAACAGTACAATGAAGACACTTGGACACACCTTACAAACTGTTCAAAACTAGAATTACAAACCTTGGGACAAGGACATATTATGAGTCTCATGATACTCTACTGAGCTCACTGGAACATTACTGCAGTGACACTCTAGTAAGACAGACAGACAGGAAGGATACATCAAGAACCTAAACCTAATCATGATGAAACAGATGAACTCAAACTGAGAAAAAACTGGCCTGCATTCTTTATGAATACTGAGGTCAAAATCCCCTCCCAAAAAAAGAAATTGAGGAACTATTCAGATAAAAGAGAAACACAACTAATGCTTTGCGTTTGATTCTTGACTTGGATGGGGGAAAAAAGCAGCTTTTATAAATGTTATTACTGAATTGATAAAATTTAAATAGAGATTATAAAACTAGACTGTCTTACTGTATCACTATTAACCTATCTGATTTGATAACTGCATTCTAATTCTATAAGTGGCCTTATTTCTAGGAAATACACTATGAAGTGAAACAGCAGAC